TCTTCTTCTTCTTCTTCTTCTTCTTCTTCTTCTTCTTCTTCTTCTTCTTCTTCTTCTTCTTCTTCTTCTTCTTCTTCTTGGTTTTTTGAGATGGGATTTCTCTGTGTAACTTTACGCCTTTCCTGGAACTCGCTTTGGAGACCAGGCTGGCCTCAAACTCACAGAGATCTGCCTGCCTCTGCCTCCCAAGTGCTGGGATTAAAGGCGTGCACCACCACTGCCCGGCTGATGAGGTCTTCTTTTAGCACTGTACCTCTCTTCCTGCCTCTGTGACTGCTCTTCTCCCGGTGTGACAGGTCATCACTTTCTGGTTGCTTTTAAGATGTTCTTGCCCCCCGCCCCACTCCTGCTTTATTGAAAATAGAACTAAACAGAACAGTTCAGTGAGGATGTGTCTGGATGTGAGCTTTTGGGGTTAAGCCTGATTGGATGGACTGAGTGTCTTGAGCCTTGAGATTACGTTTTTTCCAAAGTGAAGCAATTTCCAAGCATTACTCCTTTTGATAGCTTTTGTATGTCCTTTCTGCTCTCTCTTCCTGGGACTCTGATGGTACAAATAGTACATTACTGCAATTGTCTCATAGAATTCTTTCCTTTTCCTTGTTAGTCTTTCGTAGTTCTATGCTCTTTCTTTAAGTTCACCTCATTTTCCTTTGCTGTCTCCATTTTGTTTTCAGTACTGTCCAGTGAGATTTTAATCTCTTGTTTGGTGTCTGCTGGTTCTTCATTGTACTTTCTGCCAAGACTTGTGACCTTGGCAGACACTCTGAATAGAGTCAGCTGTTACTTCTTGTAATATGGTCACAATAGCACACTTTAAACCCTCACATTTCCAACCTCTGAGTCATCTTAGAGTTGGCATCTGCTGATATTCTCTTTCCTGGCTTTTTGTGTGTCATATAATTCTGGATCGAGCCGTAGACATTTTGGAACGCCATATTATAAGATGCTGGGTCTTGTCCGAGTTCTTGGAGAATACTTTTCATTGTTTTATTATAAAATGTTTTTGGCTAGAGTCAAGCTGAAAATTCCAGTTTACCTGCACACAGGAGCGGTGTGACCTGCTGTCCCTGCTCTCTTGGGGAGGCTGTGCACACAGGTAGACTGTAATTTGTTGTTCCCCTGCTCTCTTGGAGAAGCTGTGCACACAGGAGGGGTGTGACCTGCTGTCCCTGCTCTCTTGGGGAGGCTGTGCACACAGGTAGAGTGTAACTTGTTGCTCCCCTGCTTTCTTGTAGAAGCTGTGCACCCCTGTGTACTGCAGATACCAGTTCCACAATACTCCAGTTCATGAGACCAAGAGGGAGCCCCATGGGACTCATGTATTTTTCCAGGATATCAATGTCATCTTCCTTGGGGCCATGCATCCCAGTGACCTGAGGGAATACCTGGAAGGGCCCCCTATGGTGGTTGAAGTCCATGACAGGGACCGAAAGTCAGAGGAGTACTCCCGGAAGCCTGCCCTGTTTGGAGAGGACCCCGTGGATTCGTACTTCAACCTCCAAGCTTTCATCTCTCCCAAAGATACAGAGAATAACCCCTTTGAGTCCCAGAACAAGACATGGGATCCTTATGGGGTTGCCCGGGTCAGCTTTGCTGACCTCCTCCTTGGTCATAAGTTCTTGAACGTGGTTGTCCCCATCCATAACTGTGAGCCAAAGTCTGCCAGCCGGAACCAGGATAGGAGGAACAAAAAGTCTGTAGGGTTCCGGGCCCCCACAGATGGCCTCCAGCACAGCTCAATACCTATGGGCAACTACCTGGAGGCCAACTCTCTACTCAAGCTCCGAGTGGACATCGCAGTGCCCCTGAGTGCTTGGTTCACTGCGCCTGAGCTCGACCTCATGGGTACCCAGTTCGGCCGCATCATTTTTGTGTTCAACACCAAGAAGCTGGTCCTCCTGCAGGACCTGCTGCAGGACATCACCATGATCAATGCCAAAGCCTTGGACCTGGACAGTTACCCTGCCCAGGACATCCAGCAGATCCTGTCAGCCTTCAGGGTGCGTGTGAGGATCCAAGAGCGACAGAACCTAGATGTGCTCACTGGCTTCCACCTGCTGGATGGAAAGATCCATCTTTTTATTCTAGAAGGCTTGGCAGAACACGGCTTGAGGCGGCTGTGGGACAGTTACCAGAGCAGGTAGGCAGACTCTGTCACCTTCAAAGTAAAGCCATGGCATTCTGGATACAGGGCAAATGGAGTAGGTGTTTCAAAGCCAAGGTCAAATTCAATGTCCTCTAGATACTGACAACAAGCAGACCTAGCTGTCTTAGTGGAAAGGGGAAATTTAGGATTGGGCTAGTAAGGAAATTTAGGATTGGCTCAGTAATTTTTCTGTGTAATCCTGGTGCCCTGAGTTAAATTCACAGAACTCACATACAGGCGAAAGGAAAGAACTAACTCTATGAAGTTGTTCTCTGATCTCCATGCATATGCCATGCCATGGTGCACACACATAATAATACATAAACTTTTTTTTCTTTTTTTTTTTCAAGATAGGGTTTCTTTGTGTAACAGCCCTAGCTGTCCAGGAACTCACTCTGTAGACCAGGCTGACCTCGGATTCACAGAAATCTGCCTGCCTCTGCCTCCCAAGTGCTGGGATTAAAGGTGTGTGCCACCACTGCTTGGCAATGCATAAACATTTTTAAATGAAACAAAAATTGGGGTGATTTAGAACATGGAACTTACAGAGGGTTCCTTGTGTGCTAGGTTTTACTTGTTTGAGGAATAGGATTCTTAGTTCCTACTGAGGGCAGATTTCATGACCCCAGACCTCATGTACTAACATCAAGAGGCCAGAAGTTGTTTCTGTCTACCCAAGAGGGGACCTTACCACTGTGGGGGCTTGTCCTGATGTGCTGACAAGCTGAGAGACACCAGAGAGACACATGGCTTCTCTGCTTCTCTTTAGATGTATGCCTAAGACAACCAAAAACTTATATCCACACCAAAATCTGTAAATGAATGTATAGTATATAATAGTCAAAAAGCAGAAATCAAATGTCCTTCAACTGATCATCAAAATGTGGACTGTAGTATGATCTGCAGTAAGACATGTAATGTAAAACAGAGTAAGACTTTATTTCAAAAAGGAAAAAAAAGCAGATAAGCACAAACAGGTATCTATAGTAGAAAAAATAGTAGAACAGGATATTTTTCAATAAATGGTGTTTAGACAATTTTTTTTCTCCATAGGAAAAGGAAAGTAAGTTACTTTCAAGCCACTCATAAAAACAAACTCAGCTATTTAAAAAGAAAATCTAAGCTGGTCAGTGGTGGTGCATGCCTTTAATTCCAGCACTTGGGAGGCAGAGGCAGGTGCATCTCTGTGAGTTTGAGGCCAGCCTGGTCTACAGAGCGAACTCCAGAAAAGTCAAGGCTATACAGAGAGACTCTGTCTTGAAAAGCAAAAACAAAAACAAACAACAAAAACAAAAACAAACAAGAAAAAAACTATATAGTTTTTTAAATGACTTAATATTTTGATTAAATTTATTTTATTTCATTTTATGTGTACGAGTGTTTTACCTGCATGCATGTCTGTGCACCCTGTGTGTGCAGCGCCCATGGAAGACAGAAGAGGGTGCTGGATCCCTTAGACCTGGAGTTCCAGGTGGTTAAGAGTCACCATGTGGATGCTGAGACCCAAACTCAGGTCCTTTGCAAGATCAATAAGCACTCTTAACCACTGAGTCATCTCTCTGGCCCCTCTATGTAGGTTTTAAACTTTTCATTTTGAGGTAATTATATGTTAACAAGACACTGAAAAATTGACCAAGAGGCCCTCTGTATCCTTTATAAACTTGGCTCTGATAGGATAGCTAACACAGTTTCTGACAATGCCATGTGGGCATGCTGCACACGAAGTCTGTCACATATGAGTTATGCAGCCACTCTCATCAAGGTACCTCAGAGAATCTCCTCCTGTTGCTATAGTAATCAAGCGTACCCCCTATAACTGTCCTAATTCCCGGCAACCATGAATTTGCTCATCTATACTTTTGTTATTTTGAAAATTCTACACTAAATTTCAGGTGCCAAATATTCTTTGATTATTTACAGAAGCACAACTGATTTGCATAAGCTCATAAATCAACTTATTGAATGAAAGAGTTGTTCATCTTTATTCTGGTACATTCTGTGGTGTTTTCTGCATAGGCTAGCATGTTAAGAGGGGTGACTTCTCCCCCTTTCCAGTCTGTATGCTTTTGTTTCCAGGTGTGCTGGATGGGATCTGTAGTAGTCTTTTTCTGTGATTGTTTAAGCACAGCTAGCTAGACTATAATGATCTGATCTTTAAAAAAAAATTTTTTTTTGAGAGAAAAAGTTTCCCTTTGAACCTGGGCTGTCCTGAAACTCAGTAGCTTAGGCTGTTTTCAAGTCTGCATGAATTCCCTTCCCCAACTTTCTGAGTTCTGCGGTTGCAGAGGTGAACCACTACGCTCATATTTTTGTTAAATCTATTTTTGAAAATTTAAATGACAATCAAGAAAACATGACATCAGACTAGAGAAAATTTCTTCAATAAGGTACAAAGAATAGAGAGAATTATACATTTTTGCTACACTAAAAGGAGTAATTTTTGTTCAAAAAAACATAAATTTTTGAAAATAAAAGCAACAAACTGAAAATATTTATAGTGTATGGAACAAAGTTGGCAATCCTGACTGCATAAAAAAGTCCCATGTTGAGCATGGTGTGCATATGGCCTGTGGTCCCAGCACTCAGGAGGGCGTTATAGGAAGGGATCATGATGAAGCCATCCTGGGCTGCCAAGAGAAACTGTAAGCGGAAGTCCTATGAATCAATATGACAGCAATAAAAACATCTATGTGGAAAGCTTGGCTAATGACCCAAACACTTCACAAAGGAGGAACTATAGTGACCAAGGAGAGGTTCCTGGGGGAACAGGAGGTTGGGCACACCAGGTTTCAAGGTTTCAAGGTGTAGGAGCAGCACCCAGGGCGCTCACAGGGTGGTCTGTATTAGGAACTCTGCCAGGTTGCTAGGGCTGGAGTACCAAGATCAGGGAGAGACACAGCAGCAGGAACGTGGGCAGCCGGCCTCAGTCACCACTGCTCTCAGGGTCCCAGGCTGGGTCTACCAAGTGTGTTTACTGCCGTTACATTCTATCTGTTGCTTTTAAACAAATAAGAATAAGAGAAAACACGTGCTAGTCAGAGCACAGGCATCAAGTGTTCCCAGGACCCACAGGCAATGCTGATCCTCCTTCTTCCTAGGGTTACTACCTCTAATCAAGTGCCATGCAAGGTGCTCTATGACTCCAGGTTGCTCTTCCGCAGTCGCCTGTATGCTGACCTGGAGACCATTCTGTACCATGTACACTTGTTCAGGCCTGTGTCGCTGCTCCTGCGGTACCCAGCGCTCTATGTTCGTGGGGCTGTGCCACGCATGGCATTTCAGGCACTGGTCAGGTGAGTGTGGACGGGACAGGACGGGCATCCCGCTATCTGGAGGCCAGGTGGGCCATAGGGACAGCAGACAAGAATGCCCTGAATTTTCCAGGCTCCAGGAGAAACAGATGCTTGTGATGGTTAATTTTTTTGAGACATGGTCTCTCTGTGTGGTCCTGGCTGTCATCCTGGAACTCACTTTGTAGAACAGGCTGGCCTTGAACTCACAGAGATCCGCTTGTCTCCACCTTCTAACTGCTAGGATTAAAGGTGTTTGCCATATGATGGTTGGTGTTAATTATCAACTTGATGGACTTTAGAACCACTGTGGAAACACACCTCTGGGTGTGTCTATTAAGGTGTTTCCAGATAGGTTAACTGATTATGGGAGACACATCCTGAATGTGACCTATACCACCTCATGGGCTGGGGGCTCAGACTGGATAGAGAGGAGAAACATACCAACATTTCTTACTCTCTGGTTCCTGACTGTGGGCATGATGTGGCCAGTTTCCTCACCATGGTGGACTGTATCCCCTCAAAGTGTAAGCCAAATGAACAGTTCCTCCCTTAAGTCTTGTCAGGAGCCGATCACAGCAATGAGGAAAGCAACTAATACAGAAAATCCATACTGAGAAGTGAGTTGCTGTGATAAACACGAACCCGTGGTTCACATGTCCTTGTAACTGGTTCAAGAGAAGAATGTGGAAGGGCTTGGAGCTGGGGGGCAGAGAACCGGAGAATGCCAAAAGCAGATTAATGAGCCAGTCTGGTAGGAATTTGGAAGTCCAGAAAGCTGAGAGAAATGTCGATGCTCAAGGCCTGGCTGGTAAGGTTCCAGACAGAAACAAGCACTCTAATACCCTAGAGGTCGTTCATAGTATACTTAGGCAAAGAATCTGACTGTATTCTGGTAAGGTTTAATTTTTTTAAAAAAAGGATGGGCTACTTTGTTTGACAGAGGCAAACCCAGGATGGGATAGCATCCAGGGCTGTGCAGTAGTTACTACTTTCTGTTCTGACTTGGGTCAACATTGAGAGAGAGCAACAAGTCGGGCAGAAAGATGAAAATGTGCTGTTTGGTCTGGGAAGGAAGAGGCAGGCAGGGTGGCTGAGAAAGCATCTGTAACTATTAAAGATTAGCTCCATTACAGAGAAACCCTGTATTGAATAGGAAAGGCACCAAAGGGCTAGACTCAACCTATAGAAGGTCCATCTTGTGGAAATGTAAAGCCGTTTGAAAGAAAGCCTAATCTGAGAACACCATTGAAGGGCTATTCAGGGTAGTGTTGCCCACCAGAGGCAGCAAATAGAGGCCAATGCCATTGTGGTCCAAGTGGTCCAGGCTGGCTCCATCTTGAACTGACAGCAGAACTTGGCAGCTTTCTCCACATGGTACTGGATTGGCAGGCACTAAAGATGCAAGAGTAATGGAGTCGTGGAGGCTTGTGCTAAGATTTGTGAAGGCCAGCAAGGCCAGACAATAGTGGCAGGGTTGGAGTTCCTGCAGGGAGATCCTGAAAGGCCACTGCATGAAGCTGTGATAGTAAGGGCTGAGTTTTGGTGGAGATCTTGGGATGTTGGAGATGTCAAGACCACAGGATGTCAGCTAAGGAGAACTACTGGTGCACAGTGGAGTCTGTCCAAGAACTCTAATGTGCCGGAGTGCTGCTGGAGGCTGCACTGGAGGACTGGAGCTCCGATGGAATCTGTCCATGAACTCTAATGTGCTGCTGGAGGCTGAGCTGGGGGGCTTGGAACTCAGATAATTCTGTCCTAAGTTTCAGATGCTAGAAATGGAGCCTCAGGATTTGATGTTTGTCCTACTGGGTCTGGACTTGCTTTGGTCTGGTCCCATCCTTTTGGGATGGGAATGTTATTCTGGGTCACTATATACTTGACTCATGTGACTTGTATTTTATTTTTAAGGAGCTCACAGTTAAGAGATTGCCTCATGTCTCAGAAAAGGCTTTGGATTTTGGACTTTAGAATAATTCTAGGACTGTTAAACACTATGGAGACTTTCAGAGGTGAACTAGATGCATTTTAGATTATGAGATTAAAAAATAAGACTTTAGGATCAAGGAGTAGAATGTTATAGTTTCTAAGTGATGTGCTTAGCAGTTAAGTTTACAAGGGTTGGACTTGTGACAGTTACTTTTGGTTGTCAATGTGGTGGTGTAGGTGAAATTTTCCTGTGTCCTGCCCAGTCTGCAGCCGCTCAGACCCAAGTAAATACACAGAAGCTTATATTAATTAAAAATGCTCAGCCATTAGCTCAGGCTTACTACTGACTAGCTCTCACATTTAAACTCAGCCCATTTCTGTTCATCTATATGTCACCATGTGTTCTGTGTCTTTACCTGTGTGCCATTACATGCTGCTCCCTGGACGGCAGGCTGGCATCTCCTCCTTTTGAATTTCCTGCCTGCCTCTAAGCTGCCTTGCCATAGGCCAAACAGCTTTATTTATCAACCAATCAGAGCAACACATATTCACAGTGTACAGAAAGACATTCCCCCATCA